CATGTTCAAAATACCACTACTAGTTTAATAACTTAAAAATTCTATACATGTTCAAAATACCACTACTACTAGTTTAATAACTTAAAAAGTCTATACATGTTCAAAATACTCTTACACGTTTTATAACTTAAAAAGTCTATACATGTTCAAAATACTCTTACTAGTTTAATAACTTAAAAATTCTATACATGTTCAAAATACTCTTACACGTTTTATAACTTTAAAAGTCTATAAATGTTCAAAATAGTCTTACACGTTTTATAACTTTAAAAGTCTATACATGTTCAAAATACTCTTACTAGTTTAATAACCTAAAAAGTCTATACATGTTCAAATACTCTTACTAGTTTTATAACTTAAAAATCTATACATGTTCAAAATACTCTTACTAGTTTTATAACTTAAATAGTCTATACATGTTCAAAATACTCTTACTAGTTTAATAACTTAAAAAGTCTATACATGTTCAAAATACTCTTACTAGTTTATAACTTAAAAAATCTATAAATGTTCAAAATACTCTTACTAATTTCATAACTTTAAAAGTCTATACATGTTCAAAGTACTCTTACACGTTTTATAACTTAAAGATCTCTAAAATGTTTACGTGTCTCTTTATTAGTCATATTCTGTTCAGGTGCTTTGAACATTTAATAAAACTTCCCAAACTCGTCTCAACGTCCTCTAGAAAGACACTAATTCACCCAACACGTTTCTAACAATGTTTGTTTTGTCTACACAAGCTGTGTTTATTCACCTTCAATAGCTGGTATTTCAGCCTAACGTTTTTTTAACAATGAGTCGATCATAGTAATTTTTCATCGTTTCCTTTACAAAATTTATTTATTACATCGATTCTTGTGTACTTAAGACACGTGGTGTTTTAGAAAACACGTTTCCTGTCTCATCACGTAACTAGAGTTTTTAATAAACAGCTATTATACACAATCGACCCCTAATACATCAAATACAGCTCCACGAGACGTCTAGAAGTCTGCATGTTCCCACGTCACGTGATACGAATAATGTTCAAAGGAATTTCCTTCTAGGGCACTACTGCAGTCAATGACAGTTGTTGTTTTTTTTTCTAAAGCTCAGAAGATCTAGTTGGAATGTTCCGTGCTCTTACTGAATTAAAAGAATTATAACGCGTCAAATCGTCAACTATGATTGGCTAGAAATAGCACACGTTACGCTACTACTCATTTTGCACACGAAACCTTTGCGCGCTCAATATAATACCTTGAATGCGATGGTGCTTCAGAATTCTGGGTTTCAATTTGATCAATAGTTGTAAATACTAATCATGCCCGATCCAGCCTGCAAATGTGGAGGTAAGTGTTGTGTTATTATTATACGGTAAGCATTATTAGTAAATAAAACACTGTACGTTAGGGTTAAAAAAAACAACATCTTATGCCTTTTTCTTAAAGATGAGTTGTGCACATGCGGTGAAGAGTGCACGTGCGGGAAGGAAGACGGATGCAAGTGCACTACGTGCAACAAAAAAGGTGAAGCTGAGACGGAAGCAAGTCCGTGCAAGTGTTCAAGTATGTAACTGCCTCCTAAGTGAATTGAAATTAAGTGTGTGTGGAGAAAAAGACTGGTACTTAAGGCTAACTTTTTTGTTGTTGTTTTTGTTTCATGATTAAAGAATCTTGTACTTCCACCTATTTCGATATTTAATGCTAGTCTTTGAACAAACGGCTAAGAAGCCGCTATACCTTTGACAAGTTGTGTAAAGAATAATACATTGGAGTTAATATTTCGGTTTATTATAATACACTCGCAACTTAAGTTAAAGTAAAAACAGCATATTAAATTAGCTTTACTCGTGGACCGGGTTGATGCTACTCTAACCCAGCTCGTGGGTTCTTTTTGATTTATAAGACTAGTTTTTATATCGTATATAACCTATTGTAGACGTAACATCCATATTTGTTTGTTTTTTCTAGAAGGAGAATCCTGCACGTGTGCGTCATGCACGTGCAGTAAGAAGGAATAGTTCCCATATATTTGTTTGGCTGGACCGAAGTATTTGTCTGACATAACCAAGGAAGATTTTTAATGGAAACGTTTATATTCTCTTTATATTTAACCTTGTTTATTTTTTATTTGGAAAAATAAATAATTTAAGTGTACAGAGACTTAAGTTTTTTTATTTTATCTATAAAACATTTTATACATTCTAACATAAATAAATAAACAAAACAACAACAAAAATCCACTCTAGTTGATGTAATTGTTTTTTCTCAATATACTTGACTGATTTACAACCCCTTTTCCTGGGCAAGAAGATTCACCCTACTCTTAAAGGTCCAAAGATTAGAAACTTACTCCATCATAAAGTGGCATTCCTTGTTACAGAAATTTGGGTGTGTTTTTTTCTTTATGTAAAAGATTGCATAATTTCACCATATCTCGTACACACACTTACTTTGCGTATCATACGTTAAGTTGTTAGGACTAATTATTACTATTTGTAACCGTGAACGTAATTATGGCCTGTTACTTTTTCATAGTACTTCTATGGTTTCAGAGCTTCGTACTATAATAGTGATAGAAAAGTATGGCGAGTTAGTTTTATTGAAAACTTAGTGTTAGTTCATAAGATGTAGTTATCAGGTTCTCCTCTTTCCTTTAAGTTGTAGACTGATAACTTGGCGGAGCCACCTAGTTAATAACCAAACGTTAATGTATTGATGGTGCTCTTATTAAGGGTCACTGATGCATGGACAGAACGAGGCGTGTATAACATATCGTTTCGAAACCTGGAATGTTTGTTTTGGCGCTTATTGTGGTTAAATATCTTTGGAGATTGCTTTATTGATATTGATGCACTCGGCCTTATTGTCCACAGCTGGTCATCACAGTTCGAACTAGATGATTTATGAATTAATTTGGTAAAACCAGTTCCTAACCCTTAAATATTTATGAATGTATTTGGTAAAACCAGTTCCTAACCCTTAAATATTTATGAATGTATTTGGTAAAACCAATTCCTAACCCTTAAATATTTATGAATGTATTTGGTAAAACCAATTCCTAACCCTTAAATATTTATGAATTTATTTGGTAAAACCAATTCCTAACCCGACGTTATTTGATATCGTGATCCTATTACATCGCTACAGCTGCAGAGTTGTGTCATTGCCTCACCACGCCTCCAAAAAAGTTGGCGTCGAAATTAATACATTTAAAAAGCTAAATTATGGAAGAAAGGTGTATAACTTTTAACAAAATGGTACACACAAACAGAACCACTAATCGAACCAGTGATTAACACGTCTAGTCCTAAAAGTGTATTTCTCTAGTTTTGTCGATTCTTCAGCTGTGTATTAGTTGAAAGGAAGGATTGAGCGGTAGAAAAAGTAAAGTGTAGAACTGTTCTTTGGCGTTTACATTGTTTAAAAAATGGAATGAAAGATTGAGGTGGGAACATAACAATGTATGGAATTGTTCTTCCAGTGTTTAAAAGATGGAACATAGCAATATGAACTGACACCATTTTTTGTGATGCGTGTCTGTAGACGAAGTTATTGTATTTGCTGTTTGGAATATTGAAAGCCCAATTTTAGTATATCTGATGAGACCTGATATTGGCGAAAGGCCTCAGTCTGCACCATACATGACATGT